TCTCAGATAAAATATTTACCAAAATAAGCAGCAGCGAACTAACCCAGAAGCCAATCCTTACCATTACTTTCATTTTCCAATTAGGGTATTTGCTGTGATCATTATTTAGTGCCTTTTACTATCTCAGCCGGTGGTCCATACATTCACCCCCATTTCTTAAAATATTGAACAGACTGCTAAGACTGATCTGATCTGCAGCATGGGAATGTACTAGAGGGGAAAGTTGCAGCTGCCATTTGGCTGGCTGTTCTTCAGCTCTCCAAAGCACAGCTGCTCTGCTAGAACACAAAGGCTGGCAACCATTTTCATTGCTCTCCAAATCTCATTTTCTCCAACAAAGCCATGGACTGCTTTCAGCAGCTCTGTGTGTTTTAATAAAGGTTATCAGGTAGGGTTCCTCTCATAAAACTATCCTCAGCCAGTGTTGGCAAGGACAGACTCATGAGAGTTTAGGGGTTTCATCTTCAGACTCTGACCACTAGAATTCCAACAAGGTGAATAGGGCATCCTCCAGGATTGGTGGTGTTGCCATGGGCACTGTGGGAGTGCCTGTCAGTTTTGCATGATTTAAATAAGCTACAAGCAGAGTTCAGAAGCCAAAACATACAGGGGAGGAACTAGGACAATGGATTATCATTCTCAGCTTAATAAAAGATGGTTGTTGAGCTGGGATTGTCACATGTGAGCTGGCCTGATGTGTTCCTGGGAAGAACAGAAGCCACTTAACGGTATGTATCTGGTTGTCCGCTCTCAGTGTTCCCAACACAACATCTCTTTCCCCCAAGCTATCCACCCACCCTGTGCATTTTTTTCTAACACTTTCTCTCGTTAAATGTGAACGCTTATGTAAGAGATGTTGTTTATGATGCTAGTTATGTTTGTCATTTCAGTTAGAAAAACTGTTAAACATAGCCTGGCTTGTATGGGCAATTTTGGTTTTGTGCAGGCTTTCCTGCTGCTTATTCACAGTTCTCAGGGAACTGGCTCTGAGGTTTGTTTTTTAAATCCCTTCATGCAAAATTGTGGTTTGGACTTCTTGTCAGTAAATCCTTCACTATAACTTTCTCTTACTGCTTCTTTCTTAGAAGCACAAACAGGTTATTTCTGTAACTAACCTCCGTACATACTGATTCCAAGTGGTATAAGCAAATTCTATAACTTGCAGCCTATCTTCAAGGGTTCTCTAACTATAGTACAAGGTATTTATAAACTTTCAAGATAGATTTTGGACTAAAAAATTGTCTTCTGTATAAATAAAAACCCTTGATTGGCAGCGTTATTCTGTCCCTTGGGCTACTATTCAGAACCTAATGAAACCTGTGCTGTAACTAGTTTGCAGGATTTTTGGTTTGGGGCTTGACTGTTCTGGTGTATTGTTTTCTAGACTGCCTCCAAGGCGATCACAGGTTTCCTTGGAAGTTTATCAGGAGTTCCTAAATGAAAAGATGAACAATGGAATGCAAGGTTGTCTAAAAAAAAGCTTGCCTATCAGTGCCATTCCCGCACAATACACATCCATGGGAGACTGTCAAAATGAATTCTTGCCTGTAACACCAGTTTATTGGGCACAAGTAAGGTTCAAGAGATCTGACTGGTACCCCATGTGCACAGCTGAACACTACCCACAATCCTTTCCCATACACAAGGAATTTGTGGCAAATGTGCAGGCATTCTTCAACAGTCAAACGATGTGAGCAAGTTTTCCTGAAAGTAGAAAGTCTTTAACCAAATGCAATTCTTACTTCTTTTTTCCAGGGATCTGAATTTTTGACTGTGGAGTTTGATGAGATGAAATTGAATCACATGCTGAAGAAGCTTTCCGAGATTGAAGAAAGCATAACTTCTCTGACCCAATCATCCTAGTTTTTGAGCTAAAACCATGTCTGACTCACAAAAAGTTTGACTTCAGTAACACCTATTAATTCTGTCAGTCATCGTGCTCATTGCAACTGTTTTTGACATTCCTTCTGTTGTGTAAATATTGAGATAAAGAGACAAAAACTCAGGGCAACATGCAATAGAAACTTGCAAATATAATTATGTGCCCATTAAAACCAAAGAGCATTTAGGCTTTAGTAAAGCCTTGCAGAACAACCAAGGTGGGGTGGGGATTTCTATAATTTACTTCAGTTTTGTCTTCTAGAGTAATTGAGACCAGGAACAGGAGAGTTAATTGGCTCAAATAATGGAGAATGTTTCCAAAAAAGAAAAGAACTGTAAGTTCTACAGATTATAGTGCAGAGCAATCCAAGACAAGAAACTCGGTTCAGTCCTCAGCTGGCACTGCAGTGTGCATGCTGAAAGAATAGGTGTGTGGCCCTTCCTTCCACAAGCAGGATGTTTCGTGTGGCACAAGTACTCCAAAGGGGCCTTTGTATGTGTTCATTGGCTCAGTTTACACAATCACTCAAACTGTCTTCCTCCTTTTGAGGAAGAAGAAGTATGGGCACGAGGGAATCACACCTGCCAGCTTTCTATGATGGGACACTCCACCAAGTCAGTTACGATGCTGACTCCTGGGTCTATGTAGGCCTTCACATTCTAAATGAATTTCTTTTATATATTCACCAGCATGTGGGAGTTCACAACTAGAAACTATAATCAGACTTGTTATAACCTACTGGGGGAGTAGGAGAGACACACAAGTGTATTTTGACTTCTTCAGACATGAAGAAAACTCAAATTCCCATGTGGGAAATAATTCTCACGAAGGTTAATAGGTTTCACTTCAGATGAGAGAGCAAATGAACCTCAGAAAATGATTTTGGCATGAAATGATTCATTTCAAGATCAATGCATTCTTGTATACTGCAGAGCTCAATGAAAATGTACCATGTATGGGCAGAATATTAAAATGAAATACTATGAACTACAGAACATCTTAGTGATTATCATACTGTCACCTGTTTTTGCATACGCATTTGATCCTGTATTGTTGTTTTTTAACTGCTGGGTTTTTCTTCCACGCCTCTTAGTGGAATACATATAAAAGTTTTAGCTAACTATTGTGTGTGCCAAGTTTTTTGTTTTACCTTTCAAGTTACTTTTCTTGTAATACAGAGCACTTGGGCTCCTCTGCTGAAATGAAAATGTGTTTTTGCCCCTATGTTTGATTCTGTTCCTGCTTATTCTAAGAATCCTTGGTGCCAAAGAAAAAACGAGCTGTTGTATACTTTCAGATGAGACATGGAATTGGTTAGCTTGGCTTGAACTGCCTAGTTATGGTGGAGCCCTGGAGAAGGTTTGAACAGAGCTCTGAGGAAGTTGCTCTGCACATAAAAAGTGGTACTAATCTTATAATGCTCTTAAACTCAGTTAATGGCACACATTTCTGTCCCCATGATTTATTTTGTTCTTTAATTCATTGTTGATCCATGTAAAGAACAAGGAAGGGTTTGCTTCAATTGCTACGGTTTATCATAGTTTTGTAAATTCTTCTGCTAAATCAAAATTATATCAAAGGTCCTTTAGAACCAGGGGTGGGAAATCTTTAGCTGGATTCTAACTCCCATTATTCCTGACCATGGCTGTGGCTGATGAGAGTTAAAGTCCAACAACATCTGGAAGGACACAGTTCCCCTCTCCCGCTCTAGAGGGATATTGATAGCAACCAATAATATTGTGATGCTTTAATAAGTATCAGGTTGGTGTGGTTCCTATGTCTTGACAAGCAATTCTATGCAATTTCCACTGTGTGTGGTCTTTTAAAATGGATGTGGCTGAAAGGCAATCAGGCTCACAGGATAACCCTCTCCCATCCAACAGTTCCTTCCCTTTCAGTCCTCCAGGTGGTATCCCAGGAGGCACCACAGGGAGGGCTTTTGACAGCTGTGATTGTGAACCAAGTTTATCTTGCTGTGGCTGTCAAACAGTCTGTTGTACAAGTTGGGCTTATCCCCTGTAGCACAGCAGAGAGGACAGGAGCTGGGCCTGCTCCCGAGAAGACTGCTTGCACAGGATGGGGGTGACCAATCCATGCAGTGGGGAACCAGCTGGCCAGTGCTTCAGGACAGAGCTCTGCCTCCCTCCATGAGCACCTGAGCAAAGCTGCTCCCATGTGTGGGCAGCAGGGGTACAAAGCAGCTGGGGGGGGGGTGCGGGGGGGCAGTGTCCAGATGGAGCCGCTCAGATGCCTGCTGGCCATCACTCTTCCGTGAGCAACTCACTGCCTCACTGGGTTGTGTGCTGCAGTGGGTTCCCCTGGCTTCATGGGCACCAGCTTGGAAATGGCTCTGTGCCAAGCAAGCCGGGACCAGTGCTGCCTCCCACCCATCGCTACGGCCCAGTTGGATTTGGGGCACCTTTCTAGAAACACAAGCAAGAAGGGGGGTGGGGGAATCCACTGTGGCACACAGACCCAACCAGGCACCTCCATTGCCACTGGCACCTAGCTGCCTCTCACCTGCAGCTGACGCAAGAAGGGCAGCATGGGGTGCCCCAGCCGGGCACCACCACACAGCTGGTTCTCCCCTCATTTGCGCATGCCTCGCCCTGGTGCACATGGAAGGGCAGAGGGGACTCAGTTGAGCAGTGCTGCCCCTCTCTGCAGTGCTGCCCAGAGGACCCTTGCTCCTGCCGGGGGCTTGCACGCACAACCAAGGAACTGCACTCTGGTGAGCAGGAGTGGAGGCATGGGGGAATCCAGCCTGTGCACTGCTGCCCAGTGCATCCTTGCTGCTCCTGCTCGTGGGAGTGGCGGCAGGGGAATCAACTGCGCAGCTCGTGGGCATGGTAACAAGAAGCAACTGCTCTTCGGCCAGTGCCCTCCAACTGATTGTTCACTTCTGCCCCAGAGAAGATCTTTAGACAGGAGGCAGGAGGGGCAGGGATGCCTCTGACAGCCGCACCAAATGGCAGCTGTCACTTGTACTCTCTTGTTAGCTGCTTGGCAAGCGGCTCTAAGGTTCTGGCATTGGGAGCACCACAAGTGTGTTTTCCAGTTCAGAACCTGTTATACCAAAAAAAAAAAAAAAACCTTACAGCAGACCATTGCTTGTGCTTGTGTTTCTCAAAACCAAACATACCACACTGACGGGGTTCAGACAACAAGACAGACCAGCTTGCATTTAAAAAAAACCCCTTTGTCGTGTTGTGCAAATCCACCCACTGCCTTGACAGGTGGATTCAGGATTTGTAAGGATACTGGAACAATTGGGTGTAGAGAGAAAATTTATTCTCCAGCACAGACTAAGTTCTGAGGAGGTGTTTCTGTCAAGAGGTTTGCAAAAAGAAACATTTGATGTTAAGTCGCATATTTTAGTGTTTTGTGCCCTCCCAAAGAAAATTACACTTCTGTGACTTGCCAAAGAGCTGTGGCAGACTGGAAGAGCTGTGACAGACTGGAAGCTGTGGCAGTCTTGGGGGGTAGGCAGTAAAATTGGCAAAGGCAGCAGCAGCAGTAATTGCATGGGGCACACAAAAGGCCTCCAAGAGCCATGCCTGGCGGGCAGGTTGCCGCATACTTAGAGCACACCCATTGAAATCCATCTAACTAGTAAGTCCTGACCTTCTTAAGTCCTGTTGTGTTCAGTGGGTTTGTTCTAAGCATGACAGTGTCTGGATCTGACCCCTTGGTTTCCTTGATGGTCAGAACTGGGCCAGTGTGCAGGCCAGAGGTTGGCAACCCAGTATTCAGCATAGTCAGAACTGCCTGTGTCAAGTGATTGTGCAAACACATGGAAGGCACTAGATTGCCTGTCCTTGATGGCGCTTGTGCCTTTTGATGTTCTAGAAGAGTTGAGTATGTCTTCAGTTCTCTGCAAGCTTCCTACAAAGAAGTAATACAATAGGATATTTCAATAATTTGGCATAATTTACATAGTTTAAACTGTCTAGAGAATCTGGGTGCTTTTTCTTTCCTTATAGCGTTTACTGCACACAGCCCGGAGTATTAGATACAAACCAGTGCACCAAGATGTTTCCCTTCTTTAGTTTCCTGCATCCCTAGGAAACACACATTGCTGCTTGGTGACTCAATTCAAACAACCTAAATTACTTGAATGAACACTTTGAGTGAAACAATGAAGAGTAAACGGAAATGTAAAAGAAATAAACTAGAGGCAGATGTCAGAAAGCAGCATTTTACACATTCACAAAAATATATCAAATGGCTTACCAGAGGTTTGCTTACTAAAGAATGACAAAGTGATTTCCTGAAGGAAGTATAAAGATTCCTATAAGTCAGCACCAACAAAGTAAAAGCAGTTGGCTGAGCATCGTGAAGCCTTTGATTTAACTCTTTTGGCATGGGGTTGCATGTTTGCTTTTCAGGTGAAAACTCCATTGAGCACTGAGTTAGTAGAATAAACTTTGCTAAGCATTCTCAGTGCACAATTCTACTTTCCACATCAGAATGTCAGCCTCTTTTCAAACTGCAGGGGAATGGAAATTAGGCCATAATGCAGTATCTCCTTTGAACACAGATATTGGAATGGAAGATGGTGCAAAAGTCAAGTCCTCGTTTTCTTGTTGAGTCACAAGCCTTAGCTTAAAGCCTGTAGCAGTTGGGACATGAGGACTATGCAAGAGGCTGCCAAAGGCAGAACAGAGTAAGCAGTTTGGGGTAGGGAGAAAGTATGGAAGCTGAGTGAGCTGCCTGAGCAGAAGCAGACCAAGCTCTCTCTCCCTGCTTGACAGTTCACTGAAGATGCCACAAGGAAGGGGAGAAGTGCAACTAGGAAAGGAAACATGGGCTGGTGGCTTCCCACTCAAGTCCAGGACATTTATTCCTTCCTGAATAATTCTCAGCATTCTCTTTTTACAATTGCCTCAAGCTGAATTAGTGTTTCTTTGCATTTTCTCCATCCAAAGATCACCTTAATTTTTTTGGCGAGGTGGGCAACAGTCCGTCCCTTACTCTTCAGCCCTGTTATTTCTACTCACTGTGTTTATCCAGAGGAATTCGATCCTCATATATTGTTGCTGATGGTGTTGTTAGTCGCGAAGTTGTGCCTGACCCATCGCAACCCCATGGACAACATTCCTCCAGGCCTTCCTGTCCTCCACCATCCCCTGGATTCCACTTAAGCTCACACCGACTGCTTCAGTGACTTCATCCAGCCACCTCATTCTCTGCCGTCCCCTTCTTCTTTTGCTTGCAATTGTTCCCAGCATTAGGCTCTTCACCAGTGAGTCCTTCCTTTTCATTAGGTGGCTAAAGTATTTGAGTTTCATCTTCAGTATCTGGCCTTCTAAAGAGCAGTCAGGGTTGATCTCCTCTAGGACTGAGGACTTGGGTTGATCTCCTCTAGAACTCGCCTTGTGGTCCAAGGGACTCGCAGGAGTCTCCTCCAGCACCACAATTCAAAGGCCCCAATTCTTCAGCGTTCAGCCTTCCTTATGGTCCAGCTTTCACAGCCATACATTGCAACTGGAAAAACCATAGCCTTGACTATACGCACTTTTGTTGGCAGGGTGATGTCTCTGCTTTTTAGTATGCTGTCTAGATTTGCCATAGCTTTTCTCCCAAGGAGTAAATGTCTTTTAATTTCTTGGATGTAGTCACCATTTGCTGTGATCTTGGAGCCCAGGAAAATAAAATCTGTCACTACCTCCATTTATTCCCCATCTGTTTGCCCGGAAGTAAGAGGACCGAATGCCATAATCTTAGTTTTCTTAATGTTGAGTTTCAAGCCAACTTTTGCACTCTCCTCCTTCACCTGCATCAAGAGGCTCTATAGTTCCTCTTCACTTTCTGCCATTAGAGTGGTATCATCTGCATATCTGAGGTTGTTGGTATTTCTCCCAGCAATCTTAATTCCAACTGGTCATTCATCTAGCCCTGCCTTTCTCATGATGTGCTCTGCATATAAGTTAAATAGGCAGTGCAACAGTATTCAGCCTTGCCGAACTCCTTTCTCAATTTTGAACCAATCAGTGGTTCCATGTCCAGTTCTCACTGTTGCTTCTTGACCCGCACATCAGTTTCTCAAGAGACAAGTAAGATGGTCTGGTACTCCCATCTCTTTAAGAACTTGCCACAATTTGTTGTGATCCACACAATCAAAGGCTTTAGCATAGTCAATGAAGCACAAGTAGATTTTTTTCTGGAACTCCCTAGCTTTCTCCATGATCCAGCGTATGTTGGCAATTTGATCTCTAGTTCCTCTGCCTCTTCGAAATCCTGCCTGTACTTCTGGTAGTTCTCAGTCCACATACTGCTGCAGCCCAGCTTGTAGGATTTTGAGCATAACTTTGCTAGCATGTGAAATGAGTGCAATGGTGCGGTAGTTTGAACATTCTTTGGCATTGCCCTTCTTTGGAATTGGAATGTA